GTAGTAGTATACGTACGTACGTACTACGTACGTACTACGTACGTACGTACGTACGTACGTACGTACGACGTACGAGAGACGAGAGAGAGACGAGCGAGACGAGAGAGAGAGAGAGAGAGAGAGAGAGAAGGGGGGAAAGAGAGTGAGGCAGCGCGAAAGAGAAACTGGGTGTAGCTGGCGGCAAGGGGTCAAATCACAGGGGGTCGGCAGGGGGTCTTGCTAATGCATTGTTTTACTCTCGCTTTGTGTTCAGCAGAATAAACACATCCATTTATAATGAGAGGGCGTCCTGGCTAATGTCCTCGGTATTCACAGGGGCATCCTTAACAACTATTGCATATGAATCAATTCTGATTGCTTGAATCGTTGCCACGTCCACTCGCACTGGTCACCTGTCGAGCAGGTGACGAAACAACGTCCCGTGTAAACTTATAATAATGATATATAATAACATACGCGCGACGTGGCCGACTTGGAAAGTTCACGCTGACAAAAAAATCTCATGTGAACTAAAAATAAACTAAATCCTATCATTTTTATTCTCGGTATTGCCTATAAAAATGGTATAAAATAAATTGGAATATGAATGGCTAATTCACAGGCGTTTTGGATGAGGTGCGATGTATATTTGGACAGGGCATATACCTCTGAGTTTAATTTCCCATTCATGCGCGAGTTCTTTTGAGAGTTGCCGAGATCGCGTATAAAAATGTTATTGGTTCTTCACGACAGGCGTTTGCGAGGGTTTTTCGACCATTTCATGAAGACATGACCGAAGTCTCAGTGAAAGTGTCGTACTGTGTCTTTTATTTTACGTATGTCATTTAGCAACATGATGGCTCCATAATCATCTATATCAGGATGTATATGCTAATCTATATGGATTCGTCCGAATAATTCCAATAATTCATATAATTTCGGCTCCGTTTTGGTGTTTAAAATTGTTTGTAAATTGTTGTGCGGTGGTCAAATAATATGCATTATAAATTACAGCAGTAGGCGATTCGTAATCAGCTATAGTATAAGTGGATGCGAAAATCAACCAGTTACGACAGTTATGCCGGAACATCCGTCTATATTCACGTTGAAATTCAACTCCGGTTGTGACTTACAGCTTGCATGAGATCCTGTACAGTAATTTACGTACTGATACAATCAAATGCAACTGAGTCGGATGAGGTGAAGCGAATCATATCCTTTCTCTCGGAGCATTCACTGGCAAGCCCATATTCACGGTGATGTGGCATAAAAATCAGAAAGCGCTTGTGTGCTATTCCGATAAATGGCGGATCTTTACTGATGCATGTGTTGATCGGTACACTTATGAAATGATGCTGCATGTGTCATGCGCAAAATGTGCACGCACGCACGCACACGCGCACTTATACGCACACACATGTACAGGCAGGCACGAACGAACGCATGCACGCATGCATGCGCAGGCACACACGTTAATCTATACCGAAGTTCCATATACTTCTAAACAAGCCGGAACATGAATGAACTACGTAAAATAAGATCAATGTTATCGCAACTTAAAAAAAAAAAATTGTATGTGGCGGGTAGAATCCATTATGGATTAACACCTTGTTAGTAAAACTGTGCGGACAGAGTATCGAACAATACATGTGTATAACACGCGCGCGACTTGACCCTTTCTGACATTGAGGTTAGCTTCACGTACGCACAACACGTCTCTCAGCATGGCGGTCGCTTCGATTGAACCGCCGTAAACGTGACGAATCGATTATCATACATAACACGAGCCGATACATCTGCCGCTAGCATCCTGACACCCCCACCACCACCTCTAAAACCACACCTTTTAACCTGCGAACGAGATCTAACCTGGAATTAAGCCTGCGCGATGGGTATCCGAATAACTTTCGTAGCCTTTCGCACCGGCGGCCATTCATGACCGCTGACCCGCATCGTGCCGCAAACACGTGTCCTGCTGTTGCGTTTGCACGTCGTCGGACTCGGCCGACCATTTCAGCGCGCGGTCCGAAAAAGATAGAAAGCTTCTCTTTTACATACCAGTGACCCACATTCAACCCGGCTGTTGTCGCCTCTGGAATTTAACCAGCGATGCAGTACGAGGAATTTGCTATAGTCAGTATGCGCGGTGGGGCTCTGTTGCGTAGGCGAGCCAACGCCGACACCTACCCCCCCCTCCCCAGCTCCGCCTATCCGCGCACCACCACCTCCGCTCGAGTGCCTCAACAGTTCATTGAGCACGCGACACGGTTATATAAAGTGGAGTGCGGACGTAACGGAGCGACAGTAACGGTGGTGAGCGTCGATCATTGAGATACGGGACATTTCGTACGCGCGTCAATAAATCGCTCGACATGAAGTTGTTTGTGGTAGCTGTGTGCGCGTGTCTTGGTGAGTGAGTTAGTTATTGCATTCGACCTTTTCGTCTTACGCACTTCTTTGGGGGCGATGTCTTCCTACGTTGTCCATACATCGAAAGATTTCGATAGCATGTCTAAGTGAATCGTGAACGAGTTTAAATTCTATCTCGCGGCAATGAGTCGCTTACAGAGCGGTTGTATATGGTCAATGTCGAGACGAGAGAAATCTTTTTTGATTGGCCGAACGATAAAAAGTCTGGTATTGTTGTCGCTGCAGCTTTGGTAGCAGCCGCCGTGCCTCAAAAGAGATTCGGAGTGCCGCTAAGCGCTGAGGATGATTGCAACCCCAACATAAGAGCCAGGAATTTCTCGGCCGATCCTAATGACTGCCAAGTGTTCTACATCTGCGACAACGGATGGCCAAAGATCTCGTAAGTTTGTGAAGTTTTTTTAAACAAGCGATATTCTTCAAGGAAAAATGAATATAAAAATATATGAAATACTTCCCGTCTAAGGTTCGCTAACTGTAAGCTTTAAATTATACGTTTGATTACATTCGAATTTCAATTATTAAAGTTCGAATTCGTTATTCATGGCTTCCCAAAAATAATGCATGGATCGATAACGATGCATGAAAGCATCCGCAAGACACTATCCGTTCACTTAGCCACAGAACGACCATTTCTCATGACATGCATCGCGATATTACAGGTGACGTCATCGGGGATTTCTCCAACGTGTTTCTTGTGACACTGTTTTACTGTATTCGGTATACAATCATTAGTTTTACAGTTATCCGGTTTATCAATCTTATTCAAACGTATACCGAATCCGTTTGGTCGGTGAAAATCACTTGTACAAAATGTTGGACGAGGCTCTGTGATTTTTTGGGATTTACGTGGTTTTCGTGGACCAATTGGCTTCATGCGAATTATAACGAGCACTTATAAAATAAGCGTATTCGGCATACATATAATTCTTGTTCGTGTTTCTTGTACACATGCTAGGCACGTACCACTATATTATACGTGCAATCGCACGTATAATAATGAGGTATGTGAAAAAGAGGCTAATATTTAATTCGACAAAACGGCTCACGTAACTTGTGATGGTGGCATCCAACTTCTACTAAAACCCGCGTCGCGCCCAGCGGTTACTAAAAACCGCGTCGCGTCCAGCGTCAACTAAAACCCGCGTCGCGCCCAGCGGTTACTAAAACCCGCGTCGCGTCCAGCGGTTACTAAAACCCGCGTCGCGTCCAGCGGTTACTAAAAACCGCGTCGCGTCCAGCGTCTACTAAAACCCGCGTCGCGTCCAGCGTCAACTAAAACCCGCGTCGCGTCCAGCGTCAACTAAAACCCGCGTCGCGTCCAGCGGTTACTAAAACCCGCGTCGCGTCCAGCGTCTGTTAAAACAGGCGCGTCAAGAGTCTGTTAAAGCCGCGTCGCGGCTTTTCATGAGACCCGTGTTTATCTCAGCTTCTGTCCGGGCGTGACCGTCTGGACGCCGGCCGCGGAGCGATGCTTGAACAGGCACGAGGCCGAGAACGCCGTCTGTCAGTTTGTCTACGTTCCCGAGGCGGTCGAAATCGGCGTCGGTCTCGCTCCCGTCGATGAGACGTGCGACTTTCAGTGCGAGGATAACAGCGGCTGCATCGCCCGCCGCGCACAGTGCGACGGCATCTCACACTGCCGCGACGGCTCGGACGAGCGCGACTGTGGTAAGTGCCATCTAGCGGTATGTTACCGCACTATCGTTCACACTTGCTCTCTCGTAGGCATGGTTCGTAGCAGCATATAAACATGTCAATTCTCATGTATGAACGGAATTCAATTGGATGAATGAATGAATGAATTGATGGATAAATGGAGGGATGAATAAACGAATGAATAAATGAATGAATAAATAAGTTAATGAATAAATAAATGATTTAATAAATTCATTAAGTGAGTGAGTGAATGAGCAATTAAATCAATGAATGATTGAATGAATGAACGAACAAATAAATAAATAAACAATAACTATGTAATTGAATAAATTAATATAAATAAGAATATACGTAAATAAATGAAAATAAATAATTCACTGTCGCTTGTATCCAGTCTCTGCTATATATATAATCAAGAGCGTATTAAGAAGGACCTTCTTAATACGCTCTTGATATAATCATCTTCGTGATGGCATCTCATGCTCGCAGCACCACCATGCGATCTTGATCGGTGCAGACTACCTGACTGTAAGTGCAGCGATACTCTCATTCCCGGCGGACTCCTGGCCAGCCAAGTACCTCAGTTAGTGATGATTGGTTGGGATGAGGCGGTCCGTGTGGAGGATTACAACCATCTTTACCAGCAGGTGAGCAATCTGCGTCTATTTACTATCTAACGCTATTAAATGCAATGTACGGGCCTACGGGCTGACGGGCGGGCGGGTGGACAGACAGACAGACACAACAGCTAGATTTATAGCTAGCTAGATAGAGAGGGAGAGAGAGAGAGAGAGAGAGAGAGAGAGAGAGAAGAAAAAGAAAGTACTTTAACTTACTAATTACTGTAGTA